CTGATGATGTTAAAATCAAGGACATCAAGTAATTGAAACAGAACATGGTTCTATATCTACCGGCTGGAGTAAAAATACGCAAATATGACTTTGATAACTGATATAACTGATATTTCATCTGAGCAAATCCAATTTACCCGTTAAGCATAAGCGATATGCCTTATTCATGGTACAAGGTTAGTAATACATACTAAAATACGGAAGATCAGCCAGTCAACAAGAAGCTTGAGAATTTTTTGTAACTTTCCGGATGCTATCAAAACACACGCACCCTGTATGAACTGTAGAGATAAGACATATACTTAGGCTATATGCAGCGCTTATTCACAATGATTAAATTATAAAGCTATTGAAAACTAGTTTTGTGTTTCAAGTGTATTACGCACCTTTGAGACATCGAATATTCAGTTCTTCACATTAATCACTGTAAACAGTGACGCGCAAATTTCTTAGGTTAATCTTGAGCCAGCGGTAAATTAGCGCGCCAATTTCATAATTATCGAATAAAGACCAAATGCTGCATTAATAATAATTTCCCTATGAAAAGTAATCAGGAGGGCTGACTTTGAGTCGAACTTTATAGATCGCGCTATTCCAAAAAAATTAGTTTTTGATGGACATAATCGTTGCTCATCTTACCATGGGTATATTTAAAAGATACGTACCGTGCTTGGCTGACGCCTTTCTGACAAAATCGCTGAGATCAGATATCGGCTGAAGTACACCAGTCTCGTTGTTGGCCAACATAACCGTTACAAGACATGTTGAAGGAGTTACAAGCTGAAGGGCGTCGGAGGCTGTTATCTGTCCGGTTTTCGGATCTATGGGAAGCACGGAAATCTCTGGAAAGTTGTACCCAAAATCAGCTCAAGTTTGTTAGTGCTGATATCTTAGATAATGTGAAATATGTGGTGAGGAATGTAGTCTACAGTAAACCCATATATTATTAGTCGTGTTCAGTCAAGGTTACACGGGAAGAAGTACATAAGAGTTGATATGACTCTTAAACATTCTCAACTCACACAAAATTCCGGCATTTACCTATTTCGCCGTTATCTTTCAGGTGATGCAGTGGTTCGAGT